CTTATGGTAGTAAATTGAATTGATGCATTGCAAGCATTAACTCTTTTAATTATTCTTGTATTTGTACTATTATACTCTTCATTTCAAGAAGCTCTACTATGATAATACTTAGTGAAGAAGAGATATTTAATATCACTCAAGACAAATTGAAGAAAAGACTTAAGAGCAAAAAAATTACTAAGGATAATATCAATTTAAAAAAAGATAATTTGTAACTTCTAAAATGTTTATGTCTTATTAAGAAAAAGTAATAAACTACTCTTAATCAAAAAAAGACAAAGCTCAAATATTATAAGTGTATTCTTATCAATTTATCAAAGATAAGATCCCAATAAAAAAAATTAAGTAAGACTATTTTTAAAGAATTATGATAAAATAGAAATAAGATATATATATATATATATATATATATATATATATATATACATATTTAAAAAAAACTAAAAAAATTATTACAAAAAGATAAAAAGATTAAAGATTCTTGAATCTAGACTAGAGCAAGAAAAAAGTTGACAAGAGTGAAGAAGGCTTCACTCTTATCTCTATATATACTATCCACCTAAGAGCTATGTAGCAATGTTTTATAGGACCTTTAACATGTATTGACTTTATAAGCCACATGTCTTAACTTGCTAAGCAAGTTTTCTATATGTGTGCCACATAGTGAACTTGTTCTACTAACTATCAATATGTTATTGTATGGTGTGATTTTCTATCTAAAAATATAATGAATATCTAATTGTAAAAAATTTAGATTTTATTTATTAGCTAAGGTCCAATAAATGATTTATTCTTATTATAAAAGATAAATAAATATAAAAAGATAAAAAAATATTTTAATAATATGAATCTTTTATATTTAAAAAGTTTGTATATAAATCCTTTTATAGCATGTAAAAATATCCTAAAATCCTTTGATATACCAAGTAAAAAATAAATATTTTTCAATAAGTTAGATTTTCCATAAGTTCAAAGATAATTCATAACCTTCTTACAAAATCTATCATTATATCACAATTTTACTATAGCTCTGCATCTGCATTTTTAACATATATATAAAGTCTTGGCTTCCAAAAATTCCTTTATTTTGTATAAAATTTCCAAATTATAGCAAAATCTTTTCAAAATATTTTTCTCCTGCAAAAGTTTTTTTCTAAAAACTTTAGAAATTCATATCTTTTAACTTAACCGTTCAATATTTCTCAAATTTCTAGATGATGTAGACTTTATTCTTCAACTTTACTACATCAAAATCAATTGTAAATCTACTACAAATTGTGTGGCATCTTAAAAATCCTAGAATGTACTTTAAACCCTAATTTATAAGTACTTGAGTACTACTTTCTTCATATCTTAAAAATCCAAAATTCCAATTTTATAAAATTTATATATAAAGTTTAATAACATGATAATACACATTCTTGAATAATTTTAGCCAAAATCTTGTCAAATTGCTCAAGATATAGCTTAAAATATAACCACTAGTAAATTAGATTACTTACTATTTTTAGATTATAAGTGCTAACTTCAACTTCCTACATCTCTTTTATTTCAGCTTTTAATTCATCAAATAATATATAAAAAGTATAGCCAAAAAAATCCTCTCACCAATTCTTATTGCCAATCCTTCATTATTTCTTATATGCATACGTTATGTCCAAAAGAATGATAATAGGTACAAAACCATTACCTTAACTTTGAGTACCTATATCTCCTTCATAAAAACTTCAAATTACACAAAATTTGCACCATAACCATAGTCAAATATCTAAAAAATTTAATCCTAGCCTTACAAGTTCAAATAGTCTCAAATAAATAATTCTAATCTTTAATAAGGCCTCAAGTAGCTTCCTTGAAGTCCATTAGATATGAATTTTGGCCAATAAGAATAGAGATTTTTATCATCTATCTCCATTTATTTATATGGTTGGCCTGATTACTCTTTTTTATACAAAAAATCCTTTTCTAATCTTTTTTCTAATAAGTTTTGTATAATATATGCCCTAAACACCAAATAAAAGAAACAAACAAGATTTCAAGAGTCGCCAATATCTAATAAAGGTGGCTCTAAATATATAAAACTATTATCAATATAAAATCAACCTCAATAATAGCTATTTTAAACTAACTACTTTAAAGTATTAATCTAACTATATTTTATAATTAACTAAAATCTAATAACATGGCTCTTATCACATTATATAATAAGTTGTATATTAAATATATATATATACATTATTTTCACATGATAGTCAAACTACAACACAACAATGTGTGACACGTGGCTAACTTGTTGATCAAGTTTATAATACCAAATATCAAAGAAAGCTCATACAATTCTTTGTAGGAAGGATGTGATGTTTAGTATCATTTAATTGCTTAAAAGCCTAGACTATTGGAAGCATTTAAGAAATAGTATTCCTTCTCATCTTCCTATGGATGATTCTATACATCTTTAACTAGACTTGTGTCAAATAGTATCTTTTATGTTATATGTAGTAAGAAAAAAAATTGCTATTACATTATTGTGTGACTAATTTTAATATAAGTGGCATATAACATAATTCACACCACTTCTTTTAACTCTTCTTTCATGAGATTAGAATTGTTCTTGCTATAGAAAGTCTTCTAGCAACATTCCATTTGTTAATAAGAATTGATAAGTTCTTCATTTAGGATTATCACATGTTTTGATAGTCTCTATACTACAACATTAGCTTGGTTGTGTAGAATTTTTGAAACACCATCACTATGTTATTTATTTTTGATTACATATTATCACGAACATATATATTTATATAAATAAGAAGTGCTACATAGAAGATAAATATAGGTAGATTTGATATTATCTTGATGGCAAGCTTCTTAGAAGCTTCATAGACACATATTTGACTTTGTATATATTTATAATTTATTGATAGATTAGAAATTTGATTAAAAAATTAACTATGTCTTGCACGTGTAGTTAACTTGTAGTACAAGCTAATAATGTGGTGCATATATAAGAAACTTGTCTAATAATTTAAAACACATGTCTTGCAAATTAGACACGTGTTGGAGGTCCTATAGAATGTTGTCACTTAGCTCTTAATTAGATAGCATATATAGAAGCAAGAATAAAGATTTTTTTTACTCTTGCCAATACCAAACTAATCTGTAGTCTTGTTTCAAGACTTTGTAGTCTTGTTTTTTTTGGCAATAGCCATTCTAGTTCAATATATTACCATCTTTGAGTGATTTTTTAGTCTTTTTGAGTGATATAAGAGTGTATTGAAATTTTTATTCTTTGAGATTCATATCCTTGAGACATATGTATTATAGTCCTAACTAATTGGTAGGACTCCTAATCAACTAAGAAATTACTTAATACCATGTTTGTTATACATTTTTATTTGCGTTTTTTATTGCATTCTTGATAAAAGTTTCTAAAATTTAATCTATTGTATATAATGATTTTTATTTATATAATAATTGTCATATGACATGGCATTACATACCAAACCACGTTTGATAGATATACTCTATTTTAAATTAATAGATTTTCATCCACTTATTATTTTATGTTAGTTAATTTTGTTAGTACCAACTAAGATTTGAGGGATTTATGTGGAAGAGCCCCTTTGACTTGACATTCTTGTCAAGTAAAGGCTTAGAGTTCTGTAGGAGTGTATTTGTCATGCATTCTTATTTAATTTTTGATTACATACTTAATGATGGTTTTTATGCATACAATCTTTACTTATACAATAATACTCTTGTAATCAAGGAAATTAATAAAAAGAATAAAGGTTAATTTTAAAGCAACAAATAATTTCTTTCTTTCTTTTATCAGCACACATTTTGATACTATCTTTTTTGAATAACATTTGCATATAAATGTAAGGAAATATTACTTTTAAAAACTATATAATTGTTTATTAAATTTAAGATTTTACACAATTTTAAGGTTAGAAATGTATTAAATTTTATCTCTTGCTTTGTAGTTTTATTCTTTTTGTGTTTTTTCTAATCTATCTCTAAACTTTTGAAACCACTTTAAATTCACCTATTATTTTTGGTTTCAAATTTTCCTTGACTTTAATTTCAAGTATTGTAAACCTTAGGTAATTCATACTTCAAAGGGGTTTTTTTTTTTTTTTTTTTTTCAAAAATTTATTAAGATCTGAAACCTTTATTATAAGCAGCAATGCTGGTTCAAAGCCCATCTTACAGATATTCTTTCAAATCACAATAACCAAAGTTACTCCATGAGCCATTGACAATTAATTGATTCATTTTATTCCTTTATGTATCACAATTTCTTTTGCACTTCATTTTTATGCTTAAGCTAAGCTAAAAGTTAAATGTAAAAAATTTCAACACTTGGGTAAGATGATGGATAGAATGAAACATCTATTACTGACACGTTTACTTTTTATTGCAATTTGTAAGGACAAAATAAATTTAAGAATGGTTCAATAATCTGTTTTTTTAAAAAAGTTGATTAGTGATTTTTTGGACTTTGTAATGCAAATGAACTTACTCACACACCAAATATTAGTTGTTTGATTAAATTCTTACTCGGCACACAAATAAATGCTGATAAACTAAAATGTGCCTTTTTTTTATCAAACAAATCACATGTTTTGAAGTATGAATTACCTAAGGTTTACAATAAGAAACCTAAATCTGCATTTAGGAAGGCACATGTGTATGTTTATATATATATATATATACATATACATCTCTCTATATATATGTATATATGTAATTTAGCAATAGGTAGTTGGAATAATTTTAAATTGGCACAAAGTTTTCCCAACTAATTATAAGGTGGTAAAATTATCAATGTACTCAAAACAAGGTTCTGCTTGCTGAAGAATACTCATGAAATCGATAGCTTACACCTTCAAGACGGAACTATTCATTTAATTTATTTTTAAAAAATAATATCCTGAAATGAATTTGTGCTTTGGGTTTGCACATTGTTATTACTTTGTTTACAACAATGAGGTAATATGTAGAATTTTACCTTTCATTGATGTAAATCATATAAACATAAGGTTTTCGTACTTCTTCAAAGAACTAACTATAGAACTACTTGTGACAGCAGTAAGATTGAATCGCAAAAGGGTTTGACACATAAATCATGGTCTATCATAAAATTAATAACAGAAAGAGACATGATTTTTAGTCATAGCAATTTGTATGTTACAGACCTCAACGTTTTTTTTCAAAAGCGTATGGCAATCTTGTGCTTAGTGAAGTGCATACTTGAAATGATGTATGCAGCACAAGTGCATTTAAGAGGAATCCTTTGCAAATGCACATTGACACTACTAGCAATATTAAAGCTTAATGTGCTAACTGTGCTAAATGAGTAAATCAACTAAGATCCTGTATTTTTTTTTATTTGTGATTTTTAATTTATCAACTTGTTGTTTTATCAGTTTTCTTTTTCCTTTTTTTGTTACTTCATGGATGTATCAGAGTGCACGATAGAACGAAGGATTTCTTTGTTGGGAATCAATTGCGAAGATTGCTGCCAACATCAGAGCTGATGACAGCACAAGTTGACGCCGTCTCAGATGATCAACTTGGATCCAGTAGCTCCCTACTGGATTCCAATTTTAGGCTAGGTAACTCACGCTGCTTCTTTGGTTTCACCTCTTGTTCTGCAAGAAATCCACAATAAATTCCACGACTAAGAAACTTTGGGAACATCATTCTATGTGGACTTGGTGAATACATTGTAAGCTTGCGGACTAGAAGAAGTATTAACAGTTACAGAAAAGAAAAAAGAAAGAAAAAAAAACACACACACACACACACACACACACATACACACAGAAGTTCGTGGCTGCCCTGAAACTAGAACTAATATTTGAATGACTGGACATGCTGGTATTACAATAAATCGACGATATCTTGTACAAGGAGCAAACACAAATAATTAAAGTCAACTTACTTGAGATAAGAGCCTTAGGCCTGCTCTTGAAGAGAAGTTTGTGTCGGATGATACCAACTACATGCATCTCCACCGGAGTAGATGTCGACAGGCTTGGATCACTGCTACTTACGGGATCAGTATCCATGGCATCGGGTGCCTTCACCTTTTTCAAAATCACTAGAGGCTTTTTCAAAGTCACTTTTGTCCCTTCGAGTTCATGATAGCCGATAACGAGTTTGTATGTACTCTGGAGACCACACACACATTGTCTTATTCATTTACATCCCAAATGTAGTCAATGAAACTAATAACACAGTAATGACATTGTTTTGTAAAAAGAGCAATTCTTCACCCCCGATGTAGGTGCAGCCCAGTCTCAGGAGGTTTGCGGGGGGACTCAAACTCGTGTCATCAATAATCTCAATTAATTTTCATCTTCATGCTTAAGATTTTAAACGTGCCGGTTGCTCAATAAGAAAAAGGCAATGAAAGCATATTAAAACTTTCCACTGCAAAGATAACTGGAAAAAGCGTCTTCATCAGGCTTATATTTGGTTGAAACGTAACAACTTACAAGAACAAAGATTCAACTGAGTTATGGTGTACCGTGGAAGTGCGGCAGAGAGAACCAATGGTGAGATTGTGAAGACTAGTTGAGTGTTGAATCTCCAGAGAACCTTGCAGCTCCACCATTCCCCACTCCTTGCATTCGCCACAGCTGCACTTCACTGGTATCTGCATATCTGATGCTGCGGAGGCTACCTCAATCATAAACCCTAAAATCCACGCACGAATGTATCCAGCACTGTCTAGCACACAAAATGAAGATATCACGATCAAGGAGTAATTGGTTCCCTACATTAACTTGAGGGTAGAACTTACGAGAATACACAAATAAATAACTAAATAAAAAGAAGAAGAAGCAGAAGAAGAAGAAAGAAAATGCAGTGTGTAATATCTACACTCTTCAATCACTCAAAAGCCAATTCATACGCAGCAAAATTCAGAAACAAAGGTTCCATTCTGACCCCCTACCTGTGAGTCGTTCATCTAAGACTCATTGCAATGATTCATTTAGTTAATGAGTTCACCGATCAAACCACAAAACGCTCCTCGGCTTTAGAAACCGTCTCCTTCCGTCTTCACGGAGTAACAAAACAGAAGTCCAAACTTGCCAAATGATGTCCAGAAATCGATAACATTCCCTAAGGACGCACCCAATTATATCCTTCAGTGACCCAGTTATCGCTAACTCCAGAAATCAACCTCAACGGTGAGGCCAAGCGGACTCTTCGACTGCAAAATCCGAACTCCCTCAGACATTCCATCAGGGCATCCGGTGAAGTGATTTTGAAGAGAGGCCATGCCAGGAAGGGCTCATCGTATTTCATTCATCTGCATTCCACTTCATTCATTGTTTCTGAAATGTCGTTTTTCGTGGACATTCGGCAATCCGTCCAGGGTGACATTCCAATATCAGCAAACTGTTTTTAGAGCCGAATTCTCAGAGATTAAACCCAAAAAAAATTACAGACCTACAATTATCAATTATCATTTTCATGGTCCGATGTTGATATGAATTTTAGCTTGTTCAGCTTATCACCAACCCAACTCAACTCAACTCAACTCAACCCAACCCAACTCAACTCAACCCAACCCAACTCAACTCAACTCAACCCAACCCAACTCAACTCAACCCAACCCAACCCAACTCAACGCAACCCAACCCAACTCAACTCAACCCAACCCAACTCAACTCAACTCTACCCAATCCAACTCAACTCAACCCAACCCAACTCAACTCAACCCAACCCAACTCAACTCAACTCAACCCAATCCAACTCAAGTCAACCCAACCCAACTCAACTCAACCCAACCCAACTCAACTCAACTCAACCCAACTCAACTCAACTCAATCAAACTTAACCCAACTCAATCCAACCCAACTCAACTCAACCCAACCCAACTCAACCCAACTCAACTCAACCCAACCCAATTCAACTCAACCCAACTCAACTCAACCCAACCCAACTCAACCCAACTCAACCCAACCCAACTCAAGAATCCACTAACGTTCACTGTTACTTTCGATGTAATCATTCCTTGTGATGGTTTTACGTTGCAACGAAAGAGTAGGGTCACTTGACAACACAGAGGAATAAACATGAACCATTACCACTTTCTAATTCATGAACGAATTCAACGGGCAGCTCCAAAGCATGAAGAATGTTTCCGGCTGACTGATTAAAAAGGACGGAGGATGGAAAGATATCGGAAGGGTATGGGAATCGAAGGAAATAACAAACACTGGACTCTGTTTTGGAGGTTCGGAGAATCGTTGGGAGTTTCATAGATCTTCCAGGCTTCCTGATGACCATGTGAATCGGGTTTTGTGTTGGGTGAGTTTGAGGTTCAGATTTGACGGAGCTGGGCTTGCTAACAGGGTTTTTATTGTGTATTGGGGGGGGGGCTCTGATGCAGCAATTTGAGGGTGTCCGAAATTTTAAGTGGTGCTGATTAGGGTTAAGATTTAAGTTGAGTTTGTGGATTGGGTCACGGCTACAAAGAGATTAGAACTCGAGGAGACGATGACTTCATGAGATTGATCGTCGAGTGAGCTGCGGAAGGGTGAGAAGAATGGCAGATTCAGCTCTGTTATCGGAGATTCAGCTTCTGTCGTTGAGTTCGACTTCTTCGTCGACCTCTACCTCCAGGTGCACTCTACATCCCAATCTGCCCTTTCTTGCTTGTGAAGCGTTTTCGGATGCTGGAGTTGGCATTTTATTTCGCACAATGTGGAATTGTGTTTCTAATGCATTTCAAAGTTGGAAAGAGCCGTCAGCATTGACCCGGCCATTACACCTCTAGTTTTGCATCGGATTTATATCCTCTAGCGTGGAATGAATAGTTTTGTGCGATTATTTGATTCTGAGTTTTGCAGCCTTGAAAACAGCCTACGGTATTTTCGCACACACACATGCTATCCCCATTTTTCCCACCTTTGAGTTAACTTCTTGTTGGGTGGTTTTTCTCTCGTCTGCGTTTTATGCTTAAACAATCCATTATCGTTTTCCTTTCTGGTTCCAGACAGGATGCGAATGAGAACGACAATGTGGACCTTACGGAGAAGGCAAGAGCTGCAGTGTATGCAGGGCCACCACGTCGTACAATCGGCAACGACAACGCAATTTTCGATCACGACGACCCCAAGATAAAGGAGGTGATTATGCAAAATTTATTTCGGTTATACCCCCTGGGCTACTGTGTAATTGTTACGAATTATGACAAGGACGTGTGAATGCAGGATGTCATCCGAATGATAGTCCAGTATCTTCAGGATGAGGGTTACGTTGCGTCTATCATGACCATACAGGACGAAACGAGTGTGCGCTTCGCCGAAAGTTTGCGCAACCGATCACATTTCAAGCGTATCAAGGCGGCTATTTTAGGTATGTTTGCCCTCCTCGCACATGTAATTGAAATACAGGTTGTTTTGAAGCGAGGAAGGTGGAGGTTTGTTGTATAATGCTTGATTCAACAATTTTGCGTAGATGGCGAATGGGTTGAGATGGAGAAGTTGGTGCAAAAGACTCCTTTGAAAGATCACAAACACTTTATTTATGCTGTCTACAAGCAGCAGTACCTCGAGCTGATTGAGCAGCTGGAGTATCAGAAGGTACACTTGCAGTTCCTAGCCCTCAGATTTCACAACTTATTAAAGGGAAGTATTTTTGTCACATAATCATAACAATGTGATTCTTTTTGTCTTTTGTTCAGTCTGCTTTACGGCCTGGAATTATGGAGAAAGTTGCGCCTAGGTGGAATTCTTCTTCTGAGTGTTCCTCTTATTCTTGTATTTTCACGTTTGATGCAGGCCTTTGCATTATTAACCAAGAAGTTAAAGCCGTTGGAGCAAATGGGAAGTTTGCACAACGAGTTTAAGGACTTGTGCTACCTCCTGACCTGCAAATCCATCCAGGATGCAGCTTTTTTCAAGACTTGGGAGGGTGTTGCGAGTTCCCGGTACCTATAATTCGTTGAATGCCTCCTAATGACTTTTTATTCCTCTCGAAGTTGTGCAAGTTACAGATGTGTTACAGCAGTCAATATCTAAATTTCTGGGTTCTTAAAACACTTTTTGGTCTGGAGTATATTATTCCGGATTATCGAAAGAGACGTGTGTGCTGAACACAGTTGAGTGACAGGCTGCAGAGATTATATCCTATTTTATTTATGCATCCTGTGCAGAGAAAAACTCGTGGATCAGTTTTCTTCTATGCTAGAGATTGAAAATAACGATATTGCAGGTGTGTTTTTCAAAACAACCTTATAATGTAGTAGCATTTATCTTACATTTTGAAACTTTATAAGCAACATACTTTTGATGTTATGAAACAGTTGCAAGGCATGAAGTGCAACCACAGAGGCTGCTACATTTGCTGAAACAGGCAGTGCGTTACCAAATTGAGTTCAGTAGATACCATCCAAAAGTTGTGCCTAGCGTTCCCACGTAAATTCCCTTTCCTTTATGAATATTGTTTTTCACCTTTTGCATGTTTTGTTCGTTTTAGTTTGGATCTTTCGAACATTTTGTTATTAGGCATGCGTACAAGTGCTTTATGTCCTGTCCTTGCCTCCACCGAATGCTACGCATCATAGTCTTCAATTCTGGTTCATTTTCTGGAGAAGAGAGATGCTATGTTAAATATTTAAGGACCTGTTAACGTGCGTATTGAACTATTGATATGGAGAATTGGGTCAGAAGAAAGAACCCGGACACTGATACTTCCATGGTTCTACCTTCCACTTCTATCCCTACGTAGTCCGGGCTATATCATACGGGAAAACAAGTAAAAATGCAAACTTCACTTGGATGACGCACCCTTGCCCCTTCCCTGGAGATTTTGATGGAAAAGAATGAGATTTGATGATGGGCAGGGGCAGGGGATTGTGGGCGGCAGCATTCATAAGGGTGCACTGGTTCTGGCAGATTGCTGGAGGATTATTCATGCTTTGTTCTTCCCAATGCGCACAAGACCACATTTCGTGGTCATCGTAGCAATGTCAAGTACGTCAATTATTTACTCCATTCCATTTTTTTCCGTTCCGATTTCATGCTCTTTGCCCTGGTATAACTTGAAAACTGACTTGTTGAGGCGGTATCTATGGTATTTGATTTGTTTGATGGGGCAGGTGTGTGGAATTTGTTGGAGAAGAGGGCACACAAATTGTTTCAGGCTCAAGGTGCATTCATCCACATTTCAATGACATGACTGCAAATTTGTCCATCATGTACTCATTAAACACCCCGACGTTACGCCAGTGGATGTACCATGTACCATATCAGTGGTAAGTTGTGAGATGGTCATGACTTGTAGTAATTGGACATGCAGTGACAATACTTTGAGAGTATGGGACGTCGAAGATGGTCGATGCGTACGAGTTTTGGGTGACGGAGAGCTTGGTAGTGGAGGAGGTCATACATCCCGAATTTGGGATGTAACTTCGAGTAGTAGTGGTGACTTTATTGCAAGTGCATCTGGTGATTCTACTGTTAAGGTACAAGTCATGCTTCCATATGTGAATCTCCAGGGTCACCTCATGGTTGATGAGGAAATTGTGTGCTAACACTAGAATGTCCTCCTGCAGTTTTGGAACTTGCGAGGTTCAAACAAAACCCCATGCTCAGCAACTCTGGCTGGTCACGAGGGTGACGTCTACAGTGTCAAGTACCATCAATCCAATGTACGCTTCATCACTGTTGCCAGAAGTGCTTGTCCATATATCTCAACTTCTTAATGCATTTGTTAAATTGACGAAAAGGCATTAAAAATCTGATGATGCATGGTCTACACAGAATTACGTAGTGACAGGTGGATATGACAAGACTGTGAAGCTGTGGGATGCTCGGACTGGTGTATTGTTGCGCACATTCAGTGGACACAAATCATCTGTCTCTCGTGTTATTTTTAATCCTTTGGGGAACCTCGTCATTAGTGGGTGAGTGATATTGATCTACACACATGACGACTTTTTCAAGTACAATAACTAGCAGACAAAAATTTGCCATATTCTTAGTATGCTAGGTACAAAATTTATACGAGTCTTCACTCTTTGTGATGTCAGGTCAAAGGATAGCACACTCAAGTTTTGGGATCTAGTGAGTGGAGTCTGTGTGAAGACTTACAGCTCTCATTTGGGAGGTATGCAGTTTCTGACATTCTTTCCCTCAGACGTAGATTGAAGTATTCGTGTGTGAGACTAGGTAATCTCATTCCAATAATTATGTCCATGTATTTCTGGCTACAGAGGTAACATCAGTTGAAATGAACAAGGCTGGTAGTTTCCTCTTGAGCGGGTCCAAGGATAACTCCAATCGGCTTTGGGATGTGCGACTGGTTAGTTTTCTTACTGCCATGTATTTGTTGGTTTTCTTGTATCGTTTTCTCTGCTCTTGTGCGCTTGGATGAATTCAGGCAGTCCTACTCGTGCTGCAGGAGCTATCATTTGCAGTGGGGTGAAAATGTCCTTCAGTTGCTATTCTTGGTAACATCAGACAAAAAGAAATTGTAGGTAATTTAAGCTAAGCTTGCAACCGGATGATTTCAATATGTGGCTACGTTAACAGGCACGACCTATCAGAAGGTTCAAGGGTCATCAAAATACGAGTAAAAACTTCGTGCGGGCAAGTTTTGGACCTGATGAGTCTCTGGTTGTTGGCGGTTCTGAGGTACTTTCCAAAAACTCGTATCGCTTGAAGTGAATAATTATTCCTGGTTATTGTAAAATATGTAGTTCCTGGTTCACACTTAATTTCAATCGCAACTCCTGGTAAATAATATTGCAAATTTTGTATAGCGTTCCATCTTATTTTATATGATGCTATGAATCTCCGCAAATTTGTTGAAGCTTATGGACTCTAAACTAGTCTATGTCTTGCATTTTGTGTGTTAGGATGGCTTTGTATACATTTGGGATACAGCAACGGGGGAGATACTTCAGAGGCTAGGCAGTCACAGCCCTGAGAGCCACACTGATATTGCCTACCGAGCTGTCTGGAATGCTCATCAAAGTCTTCTCGTGAGGTAATTCTATTCTATATTTTACTTAGAATGTCGCGAGTTCAGGGCATTTTAGGCTCATGGTAGGTAGACCAAACGTGCCGTTCCCAATTAAGATTTTTGACGATTCATGTGGGTATGCAGCTGTTCGCATGATTGCACTGTGAAGACCTGGTGGTATGATGAACAGCAGATGTGGGATCAGGATGATGACATCTAATTTCGGTGCACCTCTTTTTCTTAAACACTTGAGAACTTGACCTCCTGAAACAGAGATTTAATAGCAGTTTTGGTGGTGTGAAGTTTTACTTCCGTGTCGGTGAATGGTCATGAACCTAAGTTATGCATCCTCGAATCTACTGTCCAAACATTTGTGAACTCTATGAACGCTGATTCGTGTCTTGGGCCAAAATATTGGATCCTAATCATGTCTGTAACCACACGGATCTGTGGATTATTAATTTCTAAGAGTATGATAAACTATGAAATGTTTATCTCCATCAGAAAAGGAACCTATTGAACTTATCTCAATTTTTTACAAGATGACGTGATGACAATTTTCTTAGTTGACTCGATCTTGCACTTTAAAAACAAAAACTCGGTAAAGTTATTCCGCTAATGTGGGTTTTTTAATAAATATATATATATATATATATATATATATATATGTGCCTCTTCATGTGCTCAAAACTCATTTCAACTACATCAGTAGTTTGTGAAGTATTTGAAAGATGTACATTAATCGATAGCAGAGAATTCAGCAAGATTCTATTCAAAATATATGTCGGTACCCAATTAGACAACCACATGAAACTTTCTTGATTATATGTTGTAACGTTGCTAAGTCATTGGGCATATTTAAAAATATATATCTTCTAGTTTTGACTGAAAGTATTTTAATGGTTACTATGTCCATCCTGAGCTGGCCAAGCTGATGTGGGACTGCCTGCTAAAATGGCGTGACCATGAGACGTTCTTGTGCAGGTACGTTGGGGGCGATGCCGATTCAACTATCTCGATACACAAATTTATCTTGCTTGTGTCTCAATTCTATATTTATTCAATCAAATAATCTTTTCTCTTATTCATGGAGGTTCCCATATGTAATTTGGTTTAAACGCTGGTCGATTTTCTTGCGGATTTGATGGTTGCACTTATGGAGAAATTTTTGTCCTGTATGTTGTGAATGCCTTCAAACTGCGTGAGATGGACGCTGTAGTGAAGATTTCTGCAAAATCACACGTTCACACGTAGACATACCTACCTCATTCAAGCAGACTCTAGTTAAGGGTGCCAAGTTACTTCAGGACTCGCCAAAGAGCATACGAAGAAAGGAAGGCACCTATAGTCTTAACAATAGGATCTTGCTTGCCCATGCTGAGTATTGCATCGCCAGTACCCTGAAATAGATCCAGTGTATACAAGATTTCGAACCTGGGGAGAATCCAGTGAACAATCCGACGGCTTTGTCAACTTTACATTCTTCGTAGTTTTCCATTTGGATTATGGGGAGTAACTGAAATCCGTGAATAGCAGAATGTTTGATTTGTGACAGTAGCAACAACATCGGCGGTGTGAGACAGACTTCGTCGTCTTCACGTCTACGTTAGTGTAATTGGATTCTACTAACAATAAATTCTCTAATTGGTAACTGCCAAAGGTTCCAACATGGATTAGTTGTCTACCACCAAACCGACTGTAAGTTACCAACTAAGTACATTCTTTTGATACAAAAGAAGATCAGAATTCACCTCCGAATTGTACTGTTACATACCTACATGAATATCATGGAATCGTGGTCAAAACTAGATTGTAGAATTTACTTGCAGGAAGCTGTGATAAAATGATGCCACCAAAAACTGTTGCTGTTGAATTGACCTATTCATGTATGTAACAGTAAGCAGCTATTTTTGAACAAAAGAAGCTATGTTCTTTTCATAAAGGAGAGTTTATTGCACATTAATATTAGCACATGTGCGAGGGTCAAAGTACAGATTGATTTGAATGTGACTCTCCTGCTATGGGTCTTGAAGATGAAATCAAGCCTTTCACGCAATTGATTATTCGCTTTACTGAGCAATTGATTTGCTTTGGTTCAAAAGAACCACATCAGTACAGAGAAACATTTCTTCTGTAAAATTTATAGAAATGGTTGTGGTTTTTAATTTGTGTCAAGATTTCAGTACTATCTATCAGGTCTTAATGCATCAGGCACAAACTGTTGTATCTGTAGTTACTGATAATTTGAAATTTACATAAAAGAATGTTAATACCATTTTATCTCTTGAACATTCAGATAAGAATATTGCATACAATTGATGTCAAAATGATACTAACTCATGCTTATCAACATTGTACATTATTCAGTTATAATCTTGTAATAAAGCAAGACCTATTATAATAATATACATGCAAGATTATCAAATTAATGTAACACAACACCTTATTATTACCATCACATATTTGTTTCAACAGAAAAACAGTAACAAATGTAAATTTTTGCATTGATATAATTATGTGGAAACATGCTATAGTTATACTTTGGAGACAGTACAGTCATTGCATTTGATACAATATCCCATTCTTGTGCTAATATCAATAAAATTATTGCAACATTAATATTATACATATTTGAATTATTTTGGACCTAATATATGAAATAAAATCAAGTTCGAATGAAGACGAATGTATTTGTGATTAGTTTATTATTAATTGAAGTAAAACCATTAGAATTAAGTCAAAATTCCTTGTACGTGATTCTATTGCCCTCAATATTCACAAATATTGTTTTGATATATATATATATATATATATATATTCATTTATATACATATATATGTAATTAGAAACATTTCTAACCTTGTCTAGAGGGTGTCTAATTTAATTTTTGAACAATTTTATGCGATTTTTTTGTATAAAAAGTAAACTGCACTTTATTCTATAAGCACATATATAAATTGTAGACCTCTGAAGTGAGTCTTCAAAACATTTTGTCAAGAATAAAATTTTGAAAATTTTACTTTATTTTTCCAATTTTTTTTAAGTATTTACAGTTTTGTATTGTTTATGGTGGAAGCGTCTAATCAAAGATATACAAAAAATATGAATTTACTTACATTATCTTAATTGTTTTGTAAAACGATATGTACCAGTTAGCTATCACTGTTTTCCAATCTTTAACGAGTTTCACCATGTTCAAAACTTGGTTGTCCTAAGTAGGTAAGATCTAATTAAACTAAATGATCAAGTAGTTAATTAAAATCCTGATCTTGTTAATTTACAAAGAAATTGCTAAATCTGCTTCAGAAGTCAAGCGTAGTGTACGAACTTAAGTACAGTACCCGCCAAAAAACAGAAAAAAGTAAAAAATAATGACCAATAAGATTGGAATTAAAAAAATGTTTTGATGTTACATGAAAGAGATATATCCAGGCACATATCACCACAAGCATTTTACTCTTGGAAATCAGTCAATTCCCATTATTGACAAACCACTTAGAGTTCATTCAACAATGCTTGGGGGAATTTCTAGCTGGTGGTGCTAGGTCCATTCCCGGCAAGTGCCTGAAGGGCCGCTCCATGAACGCTAGCATTTCCAGCTGCGATAATTTCTATCCCAACCTCACCTACATCACAACAGAAACATACCTTAGGCAGTATTCAAGAATTAGGCAAAGACACTATCATATACCAGAAACGAATGCTATGCCATCAAACACAGTAGAGGAAAGCTTTTCTGTACAAAAAATGGAAGTTCTTTCAAGAGGGCAACTTCTATCCAACTCTACATGTCAAGACAATAGCAGACCACGTACCCATTTCAGGTAGCCAGCGAAGTTTTTCCCCATTCCAGTTGGTGATTACACCCCCTGCTCCCTCCACTACTGGAACTAAAGCTAGATAATCGTATGGCTGTCATGCAAAAGCACAAACAATCACAAGTTGAAAGGTAGTTCCAAATTTGGAGAACGGTAAATGATGAATGCTTCTCAAAACTAGATGCCACCAATAGAGCCGTGATTTCATGCGTACCTTTAGTCCAGACTCAACTACTAGATCGACATGGCCGGCTGCCAAAAGTCCATAGGCGTAGCAGTCACAGCCATAAAGAGGTACCTTCACCTGCCAACGACGTGAGGAGAAGGATAAGCGTCTTCCAACGAAAGCCGTGCTCATGCAAGGTAGCTGTATTGGTGCGGACAGGATGCATTACCTCATTTCGGACTCGAATGAAGGCTGCTTCTGCATCTCCGGCAAATAGGTGAGGACTAGTTGTATACCTGACTCCACATCAACAACGACTGCTCAAATGAAAAGGTGATTGAAAATTGCAAATGAATCATGTAAAGAGTATGTGAGTGTAGACAAAAACCCACGAAGAGAAGAGTGCCGGTAAGCAACAACAATTGCACAAGATGCCAGTGCATTCCGCACGGAAAGGGGAAAGAAAGCTAAAGATCACAATAGCACAGAGCAGTAACAGTTGGATATAATGCATACAAGTAGGAATCCTTAAGAGATGCAGTTAAACGTGTTTGAATCTCAACTCCATTCAGAGTTGTAACTTTCCCCTGAATTCCTAACCACCGCTCCTGCAGAACCGGCTGATCAATGACGCCAAGGACCTGAAAATCACTGATTACCGATGTTAACTGAAACAATTTATTTATATATGTATATATATATATATATATATATATACGAGATGAGTCTTCGACGCGTCAATGTATGCTTCCTTCGCTATTGCAGAAAAATGTTCTCAGAGATGGACTTTGAGCTTTTATTGAGATTGAGAGAAAGACAATAAAAAGATCTAACAAGATTGAATCTTACTGGAACGCCATTATACAACAAAGCAATGAGTGTACCGAAGACTGGCTTCCCTGCATTGGAAACAGTTCTTGAGAGTAAGCTTAGGACAAAGTTCTTCCAAACCAATATTTCAACCGTTAGTTTGAGCAAAATACTGCCGCGATGCATCAAACCAAGATGTTTTGCATAATCAAACTGTAGAAGTGATGCTTCCGTTTCAAACGTTATCGAGAAAGTATGAATATCGTCGCAAATAACAATGGTGAAATCAGCGTGTACGTTCCATTCCTTATATAATTCCGAAGTGTTGACTAATTCCAAGCACAAACTGTAAGAGCACGCCTCTCCACACAGCATAATGAATTGCACGACATCAGTAACAAGAACTTACCAGTAATGAAGCTCTTTGTGCCATCGATAGGATCCAAAACCCAAACATAATCCGAACCTCCTTCAGGAATTGTCAAGCCCCATTCCTCTCCGTATCTGCATAGGATTCTTCGTGTGAGCGTGCAGAAGCATGACTAGCTGTCTTTCAGAAAGAAATTGCAAAACCCATGTCCTAAGAGTAGACGGAAAATGATTGTAAGAATTTCTTACATAGAATGAGATGGGCATTGTTCAGCCAAAAGCTCACGCATTGCCAGCTCCGCGCTCCTATCAGCAATTGTAACAGGGCCTGCGACCATCCAAGTGCTCTACTTAGTCTCCTACTTCAAATGCAGCGATCTTCAGAAACAAAAAGCTTTCAGGGTGTACTTACTCGAGTCAGACTTGTCGATGATCTGGAACTTGGCCCTAAAATATTTCAAGGTTATTACTCGCGCAGCATCCGCGAGCTTGTGCGCAACGTCCACAAACTGGGCCATACTGTCATCAGATATAGCCTCCTCGACTGCCATTCCAGTCGCACGGCTCGCACGAAAGTATCGCTGCCTACTGACTACTGCGAAATTTCTTCTTCCAGCACTAGAATCCGCTGTCCATGAGGCTGGACAACTGGAAATTGACCGTGAGGATGATAATGTGGCCTCTACACCGGAACAGGAAACCTTGATGGGATGTTTGAATTGGATTGATGGCATGGAAAGCTCGCTTCTACATATTTGCTTGTCTGATGCCACAGCCCAAGACTTTTCTCGTGGAGAAAATACCAAGGAAGTGCTGGAGATAGTGGAAATAGTGGAAACAGACGACGACATTGTCAGTGATGGAAAAGGAAAAGGCTCTCAATCTCACATCTGTCGCCTGTTGATGGCATCTAAATTCGACAAAAATTACTCTGAAATGCCTAGACCGTGGTTCTCTAGAATAATTAATGAGATGGTTAACAGGATGCGGCCCCCTGAAAACTATCGAAGCACGTAAAGGGCTGAACGTGTAGCAATTGCCTACAACTAAATAGTACAAAAAGCGTAAATTAAAGCAAATGAACCTTCTAACCACCCTGACGGCAAACGAAGCCTCCCAAGTACAACCCCCCACCTGCAACTGATCAACGAGACATTTAAAAAGCATTCTTCGACCTTCGTCGACCCTAAACCCTAACCCTAATTTAGTAAACGTAGTCTCGGAAATTGATACGATATGCTGTTCCTAGGTCCGTGTGCAGCTTTTTTTTCTGAAGTCCGGACGTTTCGACCATACTCCACACATTGACAGTTTATCTTTTTCCTGTTATATCTGTTCGTAATTGTAACTGTATCAATTAGACTTTGGAATTGGGTGTCTGAAGTCCCAAATCTAGCAATCTCAGGGTGCAGAATTGAGAAAAAATTCTACTCATCATGGTGAGCATCATACCGTGTAATTGTCATTCGAGGATTATTTCTGTAGTTCTGAGTAGGATTTCTCTCGTACTGATTCGTGATTGGGTTTTGGTGAATCTCAGTCGGTGACATTGCATACGAACGTGGGGGAAATCAAGTGCGAAATTTTATGTGATGAAGTTCCTAAGGCTGCTGAGGTATGGGCGCTGACCCTTGATTTCGTTTTAGTTTTACTCTTGTGTGTGTCCCCTGCTCGCAACCTTCACGACATAGACGTGAATAGACTTCTGCGCGTTGATGTGTTCAACGGGAGCGTGAATATTCCGGTATTGATCATGATGGTATTCCTTGACAATTTTCAAAACGTTACATTAGATTTCCTTCGTTTTCTAAACTGATTATTCATTTCGACCTGAAGTCGTGAACGTGTATAGTCAGGAACCAGAATTGATATCTTATTTTTGAGCCGCGAAATGTCTTTACTAGCTCTTTTGTTCGGCAACCCTGTGATACTGACAGTAGAACAGTCGTAGCAAGAGGAGTCTTGGAATTTACATGATGTATCATGATTCATTGCTCTGGTTCTTATGCGTTTATTGTTGTGTATTGTGAACATCATCTTCGTGTTGGCAGAATTTTCTTGCGCTCTGTGCCAGTGGATATTACGATGGCACAATCTTTCACAGGAACATCAAGGGTTTTATGATTCAAGGTGGAGATCCCACTGGAACCGGGCGAGGCGGCACCAGCATATGGGGACGCAAGTTTAACGATGAAATCCGTGAATCTTTGAAAGTGAGTATGCTATTCAATAAGAGAAATTACAACCGCAAAATCAAAGTAACATATGTTTAGGAGAGTATTAGGGTATACAATGTATGGGATATCAGAGATTCTCTGCACCTCATCAACGTTGCTAACTGTTAACAAGTTTCGCAGAATCTCAGAGTGGTCTTCTCTTCGAACTCTTCTATCTGAAATGTTTTGATGTTGAACTTCAGTATACGTTTAGCTTCTGCTATCATTCGTTACATTCAGCTTTTATGCGGTCATTACTCTCCGTAATTATAGATATATCTTAGAGTTTTTGTTGCTGCTATTACATAATTCTTAACAGCATTAAATTTGAAATGGGTTCGGTTCAGGGTTTAGGATCAGACTTATCTTGATCGTGGCCTAGGTTCAAATAATAGTTGTCGGGTTTTTGGTTTCAGCATAATGCCAGAGGTGTTCTGTCGATGGCCAACAGTGGACCGAATACAAATGGAAGTCAGTTCTTTATGACCTACGGAAAGCAGCCTCACCTTAATGGACTCTACACGATCTTTGGTCGTGTTATTCACGGATTTGAAGTCCTGGACGTGATGGAAAAGGTACTGCCAATTTCCAAACTATCAACTACTTGCTAATCAAACTAGTACATCGAATTCTAGGTCAACGTGATTCTCCACCGTCTTCTCAAGCTGCGATTGCTCACCTGATTTCTTTGTAGGAATCAACTTTATAACCCGATTCATGACTTGGTTAAATTTTTGCAGACACCGACAGGAGCAGGTGATAAGCCTCTTGCAGAAATTCGCTTAAACCGGGTGACGATACATGCCAATCCTTTAGCTGGGTAGTGACAATGTCTGCATTGCTTCCTTCGCACATTTTTAGTAGTTTTAAACTGTGGTTAGGCTACATTGGACACATGACACATTATAGTTGTGTTTTCCCCAGGCATATGGAGTGACATCTACACTGAGCCTTATGCTTGGCTTATGTATATGTTGAAACCATAATTTTTTAAATCTAGAATTGTTATAACACATTCAACTTTTTACTGATTTGATGATTGTGAGATCTAATGTTGGTAACTAGAAATCTTGATAACTACCAATTTACACTATGAGTTTGACATGACTCTTTATTTCTCAAACATTTTAAATCTAATAGACAAAATTATTTCATTTCATCCAGAGGAGTTAAAAATAAAAATTGATCGACTACAAAAAAGTTTGTCAGAAAATCCTGAAAAAGATGTGAATCGTTCAAAGCATTCAGTTTTACCGTAGATGGTATTCGGTGGTCGTGTGCCGAGGAAGAAAAATTTAAAATCGCCGCTGCCGGGGATCGAACCCGGGTCACCCGCGTGACAGGCGGGAATACTTACCACTATACTACAACGACTTGATTTCTGATCGAAACGTGAGTAATTAAATATATATACTATAGTAAATTTGTGTTTCAGAAGTCGGTGACTGACCAAGGCCAAGGCAGCGAGGATTGGTGTGACAGCATAATTTTTCATCCACCGGGTAACATTAAGTCTCAGCTGTCAGAACCAGCACAAATTTCACACGTGATTCTGGAGCTTGATTGTCTATGTTCTAGCAGCCTGACTCGCATCCCTGCAAAGCCGAGTGGCGTGCCAGTTTGCGAAGTATTGCAAAATTATACAGTTATCACCCCAAGGAACACCAAAATTGAAAGTGAAGATGGTTTGAAGAAGCCCCGCGAAGTAAACATGTGCTGGATGAATAGTCAACACGGACAAAGAGAAATGATCTTGACAAAAAAAAAAAAAAAAAAAAAAAAAAAAAAAACATACACAATATCAACTTTCACCACAATGGAGAAACTACATTGTTTTTGAGCCATTGGCGATGTTTTGATAATATTGATTCCCCCGCTTCGACTTTAATCATTCAGCCTATCGCCTACGAGTTCCGTGAATTTGTTTTTTTGACTTCCTTAGCTTGTTTAGCTTTTTAGCTTGTTTGCTTCCTTTCCTCTTCAGACTTCTTACTTTCTTTAGTAACGTTACTACTCGTAAGGTATTGCATACACTGTTTATAATCTTCTTCATGTGTTGAAAATTTTCCGTTTCAGTGTCTGAAATGGCTATCTTACTGTCCATTATTCATTGTGGTGGCAGGAACGAGAGGTCGTCCACCGTGACAAAGTCGATCGTTCTATATCAGGGTACAGTTGGATCTTGCAATTAATGTTCTCCTTGCAAAGATGTTGATGCGTAGTAGTGCTGTAATAATCCCAGTTGCATTGCAAATATGAATTAACTTATAAGGATTGGTAGGTTTAGGTAGTTTGGGCAATTGAAGGCATATTTAGGTACTATTGACAATTTTGGTTGTAGAATGGAAGAAATAAATTAACATGCAATTCAACTCAATACAAGTAGAATCTACTTATATAATCTCTTCAGGAAGCTTATAATAGACTTAATTGTTATAATTTAAATTAATGATTAAAATGTGAATTCCATCTTAATTAATAGATACATTAAATACCCTGATATAGAACGATCGACTTTGTCACGGTGGACGACCTCTCGTTCCTGCCACCACAATGAATAATGGACAGTAAGATAGCCATTTCAGACACTGAAACGGAAAATTTTCAACACATGAAGAAGATTATAAACAGTGTATGCAATACCTTACGAGTAGTAACGTTACTAAAGAAAGTAAGAAGTCTGAAGAGGAAAGGAAGCAAACAAGCTAAAAAGCTAAACAAGCTAAGGAAGTCAAAAAAACAAATTCACGGAACTCGTAGGCGATAGGCTGAATGATTAAAGTCGAAGCGGGGGAATCAATATTATCAAAACATCGCCAATGGCTCAAAAACAATGTAGTTTCTCCATTGTGGTGAAAGTTGATATTGTGTATGTTTTTTTTTTTTTTTTTTTTTTTTTTTTTTTGTCAAGATCATTTCTCTTTGTCCGTGTTGACTATTCATCCAGCACATGTTTACTTCGCGGGGCTTCTTCAAACCATCTTCACTTTCAATTTTGGTGTTCCTTGGGGTGATAACTGTATAATTTTGCAATACTTCGCAAACTGGCACGCCACTCGGCTTTGCAGGGATGCGAGTCAGGCTGCTAGAACATAGACAATCAAGCTCCAGAATCACGTGTGAAATTTGTGCTGGTTCTGACAGCTGAGACTTAATGTTACCCGGTGGATGAAAAATTATGCTGTCACACCAATCCTCGCTGCCTTGGCCTTGGTCAGTCACCGACTTCTGAAACACAAATTTACTATAGTATATATATTTAATTACTCACGTTTCGATCAGAAATCAAGTCGTTGTAGTATAGTGGTAAGTATTCCCGCCTGTCACGCGGGTGACCCGGGTTCGATCCCCGGCAGCGGCGATTTTAAATTTTTCTTCCTCGGCACACGACCACCGAATACCATCTACGGTAAAACTGAATGCTTTGAACGATTCACATCTTTTTCAGGATTTTCTGACAAACTTTTTTGTAGTCGATCAATTTTTATTTTTAACTCCTCTGGATGAAATGAAATAATTTTGTCTATTAGATTTAAAATGTTTGAGAAATAAAGAGTCATGTCAAACTCATAGTGTAAATTGGTAGTTATCAAGATTTCTAGTTACCAACATTAGATCTCACAATCATCAAATCAGTAAAAAGTTGAATGTGTTATAACAATTCTAGATTTAAAAAATTATGGTTTCAACATATACATAAGCCAAGCATAAGGCTCAGTGTAGATGTCACTCCATATGCCTGAGAACATAGTTGATTTTGGACCAACTTGGCCATGTCTCATGTACTTATAACAACACTTTTTGAAGTCAAACGACCTCTTGGATGTAAGGTTGATGTTATCTTAGATGATAATTGGTTTTATTAGTTGTGAATAAGACTTGTGAGCCTCTTTTTGCATTAATGAATAAGAGAGGAAGACCTTGCATATTTCCTTCATTTGTAACATATTTGGAATTATTTGCATTATGAGCATGTGAGTATGGTATAATTTGGGATGTTAGTGCTTAAGCTCACGACAAACTAAATGCAAATGGGAGAGAGTATGCCATGGGCTTTTTGGCTGATACCACAACAACTTATGACATCATTGACAATCAAAATTGTTTCTTTCTAGGCCATGCTATGGACTTAAACATTTTGCTTTGGATTTTTTGGCATATATCTCATTTTAAAAAAATATCATAATGCCCATTTGCTTGCTTTGAGGATAGAGAGTAATGATCAGGGAGCAATTGTGTTTAAATTCACTAAAGTTGAGAAATTTGAGTTATTTTTTTGTTTTAAGTAGTATATAACTAAAGAACTAAAAACTCAATGAGTCTTTGCTACTTTGGCCAAAGATTTTGAAAAATAAAAAAGATTAAGAGATTCTTTCACTAGATTTTTTTTTGCATAATATTCCATGTTCTACTAATATTTTTAATTTATATATAAACTGTGGTAATGAAGCTCTTCATTTGGTGAGAATATAAGTGAGAATATTGGAGGCTTAGAATTTGTTTCTTTTTTGGATTAGCATTTAAAGAATGTGCCAACATATAGTGGTGTTCTATTGGTATAGAAAGAGACTAATTTTTTTAATAATTGGTCATTAGAATTATGGGCACATCTTATCAATATTGAAGCACAAAAAGTATGTACTTTTATTTGCTTGTATTGCAATTATTTTCTCCTTAGTCTTAAAGATCTTAAAGGCAATAGAAGCAAATTTATTTATATTAAATTAAATGATGATTATCTAATCTTTTGAAAATCTAATAAGCTTAATATCTAAGAGAAGGTTGGTATCTAGACTTATTATTAAGATTTATTATTATTAGGTATAAATTTGATTAATTTTTTCATAATAAATATGCTTGTGCTATGGTTATGTCTTCAAAAAATGATGTTTTTGGAAATTAGATAAAGAAATGTATGTGTAGAAATTACACTCCAATTAAGTATAAGACCAAATTTGATCAATATCCATTGCCGATGGTAAAAGAGTTATTTGATGCATCATTATCTTCTTAAATTTTAACTCTTGAAATTTAATATTTAATTATTATTATTTATTGAAGATCAAGTAAAGGTAATATTTTGGAAAGTTAATCAAGATGGCAAACATCAATATTATTATAAGCAGTTTTTTCCATTTGACCTTTAAGATATTTTAGATAATTTTTAAAGGATGATGGACCACATGTTGGTTGACTTATCATTTGTTAAATGCTACATTGATGATGTTACCATTTTTAGTAGCAGCTCATATGATCATGTGATACATTTATAAGCAATGTTTAAGCAATTATGTCAATAGAAATTGTACTAGCATCATTTTAGGTGTAGATTCTTCTATAAATAATTATTATGCCTAAACCATATGATTATTCTAGGAAGTCTTGACATATAGTAGGAAAAAGTATATGTCTTACAAAAAATCTTAGCACCAATCAATGTTTCACAATCTTGGATTTTTGTTTTTTTTTTTTTTTGTTTTTTTTGTTTTTTTTAATTTACCTAATTATTGCCAAAGATTTGTCAAAATTTTCAACTTAATTTCTAATATTTTAATTATTCTCAAAAATAAAGATCATCCATAGACTTAAAGTGATAAATAGCAATATGCATTTGACATGTTGAAACAAAAGTTGGGTTCAATGTAGTGCTTCAACATCCAAATGTTATTAGATCTTTTTAATTGCACATTGATTAAAATGGAAAAGGATTGGAAGCAATCTTAAAATATAAAAATGATATAAGATAAGAATATATCATTGTATTTTTTTAGAAATAATAATAATATAGAGTCTAATTATTTATTCTATAAGAAAAAAACTTTGATAATAATTTGAACAATTATTCACTTTTGACCTTATTTATAAAAGTAACGATTTATATTAGTAACTAAAAATTAATTTTTGAAGTTACTTATGGAATTAAATAAGCTTACTAGTAAGCTTGCTAGATAGACTTTATTACTTTAAAAGTATATCTTTGAGGTTGTTCATTAAATAGGCATTATCACTTAGGATATAGATGATTTTTTTT